TGTCAGCAAAAATCCTATCCATTAGGTGTGCGACAGCGTAATCCGCTTCAACCTTAAGGGCTAATTCATTTACCGCTATTACGAGGGCTTTGATCTCTTGGGTGTGAGTCAAGAGGGTGAAGATTACCAGGAGTGGTACCATCATTGTCCTATGGAAACACAAAGAGATAGGTCTTAGCTTCGTAATGGTCAAGGGTAGGTCCTGTGAATTTAAACTATGGTTAAGTTTCTTATCCATTAGTTATCTTCTGCTTGGATGACCCTGGTTCCCACGAGGTCAGATTTTGTGAGATCTTTGTCTCCTGAGGAGTTATTGCACGCCTTGTGTGGTTTAACCTGGTTACGGTGTACCCATTTAACAGTTGGCTCTTTTTGGCCTTTACTGATTTTTATCTGGTAGATAATTGGAGACACTTTGTCGGTTATCAGATGGGGTCCAGTCCATCTGGGCATCAGCTTACGGGCGAGAGTTCCGGTCCCGGACTCTCTTGTCCCAGTTTTGGGTGCAAACGTGTAGTACCAGACCCTGTCTCCCACTTGGAGTTCCTCGTGAGAGGCCTTTTGGTCGTAGTACGCTTTGCGTCCTTCAGCTGATTTTTCCAGGTTTTTCTGTGCGAAAGCAAAAGTGTTTTTAAGGTGTCTTTCCAAGTCTTTCATGTATTGTTGTGTGGTGTAGGCTGTTGCCATGGCAGCATCGCCTGGTTGGTACAACAGGTGCAGAGGGAGAGTCATTTGTCGACCCGTCATCATCTCGAAAGGAGCGATGCCAGTCGACGTGTGTGGAGTGGCCCTTATGGCCATGAGGACCAGAGGGAGTTTCACGTCCCAGTCCTTGTGGTTTGCGGCTACGTATTTTTTCAAAATACTCACCACAGTCCTGTTTGCTCTCTCAACCTGGCCTGAAGCCTGTGGGTGGTAGCCAATATGGAAGTTGGCTTTGACGCCTAGCGTCTTCCACAGTTCCTTCATTACTTCACCTGTGAAGTGTGTACCTTGGTCTGAGTTCACCCTAAGGGGAAGTCCAAACCTTGAAAATACATGATTCATTAATAACGTAGCAGTGGTTTGTGCTGTGTCATTAGGGGCTGGTAGACATTCTACCCATTTGGTAAACGCGCAGGTTACCGTGAGAAAATATTTATTTCCTCTAGAGGTCTTAGTGAGTGGTCCGACCCAGTCAATCTGGAGGTCCGACCATGGAAATGCAATGCCTCTACTGTGCAGTGGTGCTCTGTGAAGTGGTCTGGATGGTTGAAACTGGCCACAGATCAGGCACCCTTTTATGTAGTCTTTGACATCCTTTTTCATTCCGGGCCAATAAGCAATCTGTTTCAATGCTTTCAGCGTGGCATTGTCACCCTTATGTCCTGCGGACGGAAGGTCATGTGCATGGACTAACATCACCCCCCTGTGGTCATGGGGGACCACGAACACAGGTGAGGACGTCCGTCCATGAGCAAAAGTTAGGATGCCTTTAACTAGTTTCAGCTGTTTGCGCAGCTGAAAGAGGACTTTAAGGTCTGGATTGGAATCCAGCTCGTCTTTCGATGGAGTGTATTCGTCTGGGTCAGTCAGATACAACATCATCGAGTTAATTGCAGGATCCAACTTCTGAAGTTGGATGATGTCTGGGTCAGTCAGCATTGGGCGCACAGAAACTGTGTTATCAGCAGGTTTAGCTGCAGCATGTGCACGTGTGACTGCCATTACCTCAGTTGTAGCTTGTGACGACTGAGTGTTGAGTAGCCAGGAGGGGTTAAAGGACCACGTGGGTCCGTCAACGGCTCCTTCCTTGGCTAGGGAGTCTGCAAGGTCATTGTAGTACTTGTCATCGCCTGGGACTCTGGAGTGTCCTGGAACTTTCTTCCAGAAGATCTGTAGATCATGTGATGTCACCAAGTGATCACATGTCATGAAAAGCTCTTTGTGTTTTACCACCTTCTTGTTGCTTGTGAGAAAACCGTTCTGTTTCCACAGAGCGAGATGACACAAGAAACTAAGTCGAGCATAGTTAGAGTCAGTGCAGATGACTAGCGTCTGGATGGAGCGTTCCACTGCCATCTGTAGGCCTATTAGGATTGCAGCTATCTCAGCGTACTGAGAAGACTGAGAGCCCAATTTATAGCCAAATGTGACCTGTTCCAGGTCTTGGAGGAGAACTCCGCCAACACCTGCTTTGCAGACTTTCTCGTGGTGGAATGAACATCCATCCACGTACAATGTCGCCATATCTTTACAGATATTGCCATCAAAGAAGTGGTGATTTGGGTCCTCAGCAACTGAGGGTTTGCTCACAACCGGCTGTTGGGTGGCTGGTACATCCTGTGTACATTCCTGGCAGATTGCCAAATCAGTGCCCAAGTGTGACTTCTTATTTTGACCGTAGCGGATGTCTAGGTTAAAACTTTGAAGTGCCATAAGCCAGGTTGCAACACGTGAGTTTGTCACCACACCATCTCTGATGCGTTGGCTGTTCAGAAACGTTACTGGCTGGTGTTGTGTCTCAACAATGATCCTCTGTCCACCAATATAGCAGGAGAAATGTTTCACTGCCCACACAGTGGTCAATAGAGCCTTCTCACAGTCTGAATACCGTAATTCAGGGCCTGCCATTGTTTTGCTGGCGTAGGCCACAACACGCTTGTCTTTGTCGTGTATTTGGTACAGACCTGCACTCATGCAGTGAGGTGAGAAGCCCACTTCCAAGTAGAACTCTTTGGTGTAGTCTGGGTAGACTAGACATGGGGCTAACTTGAGCCTGTCTTTAAGAGCGTTCATTGCCTGCTGCTGTGTATCAGTCCAGACAAAAGGAACGTCTTTCTTTAAGAGTTCAGTCAGTGGTTTTGCGAGATCCGCATAATGCTCTATGAACTGGCGAGAGTAATTACACACTCCCAAGAAACTCTGCAGTTCCTTGAGATTGGTTGGGACTTTGAGGTTGTCTAGGCCTTGGGTGCGAGTCAACTGTGGTTGTATTCCGTCCGGACCTACTAGGAGGCCAACGTAATCCACCTTGGTTCTGCACCACTGGCATTTTGACAGTGAGATTTTAGCACCAGCAGTCGTTAGCTGATTGAGGACGTGGTCGATCTCAGCCAAATGAGAGTCCAGTGTTGGCTGCCTTAAAAGGATGTCGTCCACGTAGATCAGTGTCCCACGCTCGTGGGCGTCTGGACATGCTTTGTTCAAGAAGATGTTGAACTCTGCAGGTGAGTTAGCGTAGCCAAAGGGACACCTGGTAAAGGTGTATTGTCGGCTGCCAAAAGTGAAAGCTAGTTTGTGTTGATCCTCGGCGCGCACAGGGATGGTCCAAAAACCAGAGGCGACGTCGAGGGTCGAGAAGTACTTACCGTCGGTGACCTTTGGCAGTTCCTGATGGAGCTGAGTCATTGGCCACCTGGATAAGGGTACTTGTTTGTTTAGCTTCCTGTAGTCTATGGTAAGTCTCCACTTACCATTTGGTTTTAAAACTGGCCATAGAGGCGCAGAGTAGGTGCTGTTACATTGTCTGATTATACCTTTGACCAAAAGGTCATCAATGATCTCCTGGACAGGCTGGTATGCTGCCAGAGGGATCTTGTATTGTCTGACAAATGTTGGCGGTGCGTTGGGTGGGGTTGGGATTCTCACTGCGTGGAGCGAGGTCAACCCACAATCTGTCGAATCAGTTGCAAATGACTTTTCATATTTCAAAAGAACTTGGCGTAGTTTGTCTCTTTCTTCATCAGATGTCAGAGCGTCGGCTTGTGCGACCACCTGATCAATCTGTGATGAGACTGATAAGGGTTCTTGCTCCTTGGGGAGCTCTAACGAATCCCTTTCTGAGTCGTCGGGCCTGTCTATGGGTAAAACACCATAGGTTTGAGGTCCTTGGTCGACGACATTGGTTGAGAAAAGAGCTATGGCCTGTGTTGGTTCCGTGAACCATACTGGCCCAGCTTCTTGACTCGGTACCAGGTTATCTGGGAGTCCTCCCAGAAATGGAATGCCTAGTTCAAAATCATGAAAGTCAGTTGAAATCAACCATCCTAGCATAATCTTTTTTGGGATCAGCACCTCATCCATGCCAGTGTTACACACAGCAATAGATGTGGTTCTGGAGTCAAGACTCACCTGGTTCGTGGCTTCCACGGACAGTCCCAAATTGAAAAATGCAGGAGAGGGTTGAAAGTATGCCTGTTTATGGCTAATAGCTTGTCCAGCTATTATGTGGATTCGCACCATTAGGTTAATCACCTGTGGTGGTACTGCGGTGGTTTGGTTGCTAGCAACTTGGCAGGCCTCTGGAATGGTCTGCCCAGCCTTAAGGCTCGCTGTGTCTATCACAGTTGATAAGGGTAGATACTTTCATTTGAAAGATGATTTCAAAAAGATGTGCTGCCTAAAGAAACAAATATCTTTGGACGGATGGATATGTAGATACTTTACTGATCCCGAAGGAAATAATATGGCGATCTGTAGCTCTCATTCATACAAACAACAAGATAAAAACACACCAGATAAACAACCGTAGTATTAAAAAAGATCAATAAATAATTAAAAAAAAAAACCCTAAGAGGAGATAGAGCAGCGACTATGTTAGGGGGCATAACCAGCTAGCTTCTTTGGTTCCTGCCAGGAGTGGCCGAATTATGCAGCCTAATGGCACGAGGGACAAACAAGTTATTTAGTTTCTCAGTAGAACACCTGAATAAACTGAGTCTGGAGCTCATTGAACTTTGCTGGTTAGAGAAGACAGAGTTCAAGGGGTGGCCCTGATTGAACATGATCACCCTGATCTTGGAGCGTGTCCTCTGCTCCACCACCTTTTCCACAGAGTCAAGGCCCAGTCCCACCACAGAGCCTGCCTTCTTAATGATCCGATTCAGTCTTAGGATGTCCTTCTTCCTAGTGCTGCCCCCCAACACACAACACCCAAAAAAAAAAAAAAAAGTATACTGGACACAAGGGATTGGTAAAACAAATGCAATAACTTAGAGCAGACCCTGAAAGAGGCCAACCTTCTGAGAAAGTACATTCTGCTCCGCCCCTTCTTGTACACAGTGTCCATATTTGCAGTCCAGTTCAGCTTGTTGTCCAGCTGTAACCCCAGATACATATCGGTTGAGACCACCTCAACTTCCGATCCATCAATTATGATGGGCTGCAGAAGGGGTGGAGCTCTGTGGAATGTTATATCTGATGGAGTTTTTAGTAATACTCAACAACTGTGGCAACAAATGAGAAACTTCATTAAATCTAGCTCAAATATAGACACAGACGTAACACCTAGTCAGTGGTTTTCGTATTTTAAATCCTTGCTAACTGTCGCAAGGACAAAAACTCAGAGAATGCGGAATGAGGGAAGAACAGAACTCAAACTCTTAATAATTAAAAAAGTAATTTTATTTACAGTGAAATGATGGACTATGTACACTGTAGGGATCAGGGGGCCTGGGAATGGAGGAGAAATTATTAATCTCTTGGGAAAGGGTTAATTATGATATTTTAGTTCCTGGTGTCTTACAGTAGAGTAGGCTGGTTGTGTCATTGAGGAGAAGGTAAACAATCTCCATTAGGTAAGATCCAGGTTTGTACGACACAGTAGTGGCAAGGGAATGCAGGAGGCAAGTGGCTGGATGGCGCAGGAGCAGCTGAAGTTGAGTCAGCCCATCCAGTCTACATGTGTTTTGTGGATTTGGAGAAGACATTCGACCGTGTTCCTCGGGGTACACTGTGGGGGGTGCTCCGTGAGTATGGGATTGGGGGCCCGTTGCTACGGGCTGTTCAGTCCCTATACAAGCGGTGCGAGACGTACCAGGACAGAGAGTTCAGGTCGATAGGAGAGTGGTCCAGGGGAATAGACTCAGGTGGCAAGTCTCTGAAAAGCACAAAGAAAACAAAGGTACATTTGATAATTTTCTCACTAGAAGGCTGGAGATCACAAGTACCAGTTGGTAGGTAATACTCCAGCAGGGAATGGAGCTCATCCGTAGACTTATACCCCGGAGCGAATTAGTGGAACGACCTCCAGCTGCTGCTCGTTGGTGCCATGCTGAAACGCAGGAACCTGGAAGAAGCTGAAAACCTTACAGTTAACGCACTGTAACTTTTCTGTGGATGGTCACTTTGAAAATGCCATATCCGAACTAGCAAAGAACCATGATGCCACTGCTTTCCATAATCCAGAACTTGATGGTTGCGTTACTCCAGATGAGCTCTGGCAAGCAGTTTACTCTAACAAGACTCCAAATATCGTAATTGAAATGATGAAATTATCTTTACACATTTCAGAATCATATATTGTGTCCATATGTCATAGGGTTTTAGAATCTGCTCAGGTTCCCAAATCTTGGTGCTTAGCAGTCATATGTCCATTGTATAAAATGGCAAATGGTAAAAGTACTCATATAGTGCCTTTCTATCTAATCAAGTTACTCAAAGCTCTTTACAACACAATCTGTGCCCTCAGTTTTCCATCCGCACACACATTCAAACAGCACTCTACTACATCTCTACAAAGCTATTCTGAATCTGTAAAGACTAACCAGTGCTTTTAGATCACATTCATACACCTATGGGACACACATTGGAGGCAGTGAGGTGTTCAGTGTCTTTCCCAGGGACACTTCAGCACTTGACTGCTGGTGGAATCGAACCCCCAGCTCTCCCATTGGAGGACACCCACTCTAACCACACAGCCACAGCTACACCCAAAAAATTGGGGACAGGTGTGATACCAATAATTATAGAGGTGTATCCTTACTTGACTTAATGGGAAAAATATTCATAAAAATACAGAATAACACGTTGACTGACTTCAAAGGAATGCATGACAAGCTATATGAAGAACAAGCTTGATACAGGAAAAGTTATTCAGTTATCAACAATATTTTTATACATCAAGTCGCTTCAAAAAGCTTTTGATCATGTTCAGCACAGGCTTTTGTATTGAGTTTTGGTTAAAAATGGAATCCAAGGGAAACTGCACCGTCTTAAAGTCACTGAAAACATGTTAAAAGAGAAGGTGGTATAATGTAATTATTATTATTATTATTATTGTAATGTGCAGGGCTGCATAGTTAGCCCCTTACATTTGGTTCTATTTTTGAATGAGTATATATTTATATTAAATAATGCATATAACGACCTAGTATGTTTGATATTTGCTGACGACTTGGCAAATGTATCGGACACTATTTTGCGACTACAGAAGCGACTTGGTGTTCTGGAAAACTTTTGTAAATTGTGTGATATGAAGGTAAACCTGAACAAATCAAAAATATATAGGTTTAGAAGGGGAGGTGTGGTTAACAAACCTGAGAAATGGTACTTTGAAGGTGAAGCAATTTAAATAGTTAATGAATGGGTACATGGTTTACTCCAAAACCTGTAGAGAGAGTCTGGGTTCAATTATTGCCTTGCAATTTAACAGCTTTTGTTCAAAAGTTCAAAGAAGATTAAATGTTTGCGCAAATGTGTCAAAAAAAATATCTAATTTTTATTGGAGTGTGCTATTTTTTACATCAGTGACAGCAACAAAAGGTCAGGCGAGTGTATGCAGGCAAAGAAAACCATACTTTCAATTTTGTGACAGGATTTTTTTTAAAGAAAAAAAAAGTTCAAACTCATTTTTCTTGCAAAAAGTTTTAAAGTGTTTTAGGCCAAATCACATAAAGTTAAGATGTTTTTCAAACTAGATTCAGCCTTGTCTGTCCTTGACCAGAGGGCAGGCAGGTGTTCTTTTTTATGCTGTGGTAAAATGTTAGCATAAACTGTGTGTGTGTGTGTGTGTGTGTTCCCCAGCTGTGCAGCAGAGATTACAGATGGCTCTCAGTACTTTGTCCTGTTGATGATCACAGATGGAGTGATATCTGACATGGTCCAGACCAAAGAGGCTGTGGTTAATGTGAGTAAACACACACACAACCACACACACACACACACCAATGCAAGACAAAACAGACACAAACTGATAAATAATAGTTGTTTTCCCTCAGTTACAGATACAGATGTGCATCTCAGCATCCGCTCCTCATGTCTGTGGGGCCATGGGAGCAGAAAAAAGAGAAATACATTTCCTGATGATGTTGGTTTTTTTATGTGATCCTTGGACAAAAACAGCTTGGTGCACACCAGGTTATAGGCAGCGTGAAGCAAAACTCCTAGATAATTGCTTTAATTCCCCAAATGCTTCTAGTATAAAGGGAATGCTGACATCCCAACAACCCTTTGTTCTAAAAGGTTTTCAGGACGTTGCATCAGTTTAAAAGACTTGCCTGAAGTAAAGCTGCAATACATGTTTTGCCACATGAATCATATCTATTCAAGATTTATTTATTATTTTTATTATTTTTTTTATGCGTAAGAAATGTCCCCATTAAATAGACTGGATGTTTGGCTGACTTTATCCTGTCAAGGCTGTGTGTTCCTTTGCACCCTTTTGCGAAAATTTTTGAAAAAATATCTAAATTCAGATAAAAAATAATAATACAATCATCATTATGAATAAGTTATTAGCTTTGTTTGTCATTTTTGGCAAACTAGGCTGATAACTAAGTACCACGTACTTATGTATCAAGTAAATAAAGAGAGTAGAGGGGTAAGCATAAGCTACACTTACCTACCTACCATGTGGGTATACAAATGCACCCAGTATGCACATTAAGCAGTATTATGTATTGCTACCAAAATATTAAACTAAACTAAAAAGAAATGGGGTTTACAAACACAATCTCTGCTTTAATGGCTCCCTGCTGTCTTGCTTTCATTAACTGCTTTGAGGTGAATGAACTTAATTGTTCAGAAGTTTCAGCCGGTTCTGATGAAGAGGTGTAATTCTGAAAAGCTGAATGTTCAATGAAGTTTAGCCCCTTAACTGGAAACAAACTGTGCAGAATGAGACAAACAAAAACAGTCTTCATGGACATGTGTAATAAAAAATGAAAAATATATCTTCAGAGATTCGTTTTCAATTCTGCACAGTTGTCAGGAAGTTTTAGTTATGTCATAAAAGCAGAAAACCAAAGTGGTCAGACGTGTGCTCAGGCATAAATTAGTGTTTTAGTGTTGGAAGTTATTATACAACTTTTTTTTGTTACAAAATAAAAATACAAAAAAATATATATATATATACACACACACTTTTTTTCTTTTGGCTGCCCCCTTTTTCCTGTGAAGGACTTTCAACCTGTCCAAGGTGTACCCCGCCACTCGTACAGCAATTGCTTAATTGCTGGACATGGGCACTGGCGACCCCCGTGACCCAAAATGGAAGAAGCGGGTTAAGATAATGTAATATAATAATGGATGCTTCCTTTTTCAGGGGTCACCACAGCGAACTAACTTGTACGAAGACTTGGTGATTATTTTTCCTCCATATGCCCTTCTTTACACAACCATAGAGCTACCACAGCTCTCTGTGTGGAGCAGGGAGATGCTATTTAGGGTGCCCAGGGGAGCAGATGGTGGGGGTTAAGACCCTGGGCTCAGGGGCCCAGAGTGGGGCAAATGAGGGTAGAGGCAGGTGTGGATGTTTCACCTTTCCCACCCATTTGATGTTGTCAGTCCAGGGAGTTGAACCGCCAACCTTCTGATCACAGGCTCACCTTCTCTAACCACTGCGCCACCACTCCCTCTAGATTTATATATACGGACGGACGGACGGACAGACAGATAGATAATTTTGTCTTTTTCTGTTACTATTAAAATAAACATCTAAACTATTTGAAGAATTATTAAACTTAACAAAATTCAGGGAAGGAAAAAGTAAATAGATACTTTGAATCATCAACCAACTCTACAATAAAAGTTGTAATTTTTTTGTATCCTAAAAAGGAATCAGATGTGTGTAATTGATTAAGCCCTATCAATATATTTTTTTTAACAGGCAGCATCCCTCCCTTTGTCCATTATCATTGTTGGTGTTGGACCTGCTGAGTTTGATGGTGAGTACGATCTTTCTACAATATGAGACGAGGTGATGGTTTTTATTAGAATAAACCATTTTTGAGCTCACTTGTCATTGTCACAGTAACTGTGTTTTTGTTGTTGTTGTTTTTCTATTTTGTCATGAAGATTTTTCAATTGATGGTTAAAACA